CCGCTGAACCTGATCTAAACCAGGTTGGATTTGATTAGTTTTGTCAACTCTAAACCTACTCTGAAACTCAGAGTTTGTTCAGCTAGCTTCATGCAACAGGCCACAGGTCGAGACTATATATGTATTTGGCAGCAATACTAACCTTTAAGGGGAAAGTTGCATGAAGCCTTTGTTGAGGAGAGGAGACATTGTGTTCATGTTTGTTTAATGTGTTTCCTATAGATGAATGTTACCAGGTGCTCTTGAACCTTGTGGACATGAACCTCGCTGTGTTGAAAGGCACTGATCCTTCTGCTTGTGATCAATTCATCAGAACAACGCTGACCGGTAAACTTTTCCTAAAGTGTGCTAGAATTTATATAGTGGGGACTATATGGGGCTAGTTGTCACATATTGCAGTGAATATTTCTCAGGGGTGGTTCAGTTTATTTCTGACAGACAAATAAAAGTTATTCATTAGGTTTGTTCATCACTGCAAGGTTAGATATCATATTTGAACTGAAGCAATGAAAACAAGGCTGTGAGGGAAAGATGTCTGGAGTCATTTGTTTAGTGAAAGACATATTTTCAATGTTTTATCAGTTGAATGATGTTCACAAAGATAAACAATACACCTCATTGTACATTATGGCTGTCTTTCACAGACTTGTTTTCACATCAGATTATCTACTATCCGTAGTGGGGCAAGTTGTCACAGAGGGAACCTGCTATTTATTGACACTGATTTGAGAAGATTTTTATTTTTTTATTTTTTGCTGTATGAAATACTGTCTAAAATAAAAATAGACATATTTCACATCATATCTGTGTTTAACATTTTTCGTGTGTAAATCTCTTTGGAAAGCATCTGCTAAATGATGTAAATTTAAATGTAAAATGTACTATAGTCTATTTAATGGTTTTTTTGCTCAATTTAAATAGTAAAATAATTCTGAAAATCTAATCCTGAAAGTGCAAAAATGGATGGGGTAATGTGCCATATCATTCAAAACAAAACAATGATATGTTTTGTTTTTTTGACTAAATGTAAATGAAGCTTGTAGATGCACAAACTAGAATAGGAACAAATGACTAATGACACATGTGCACATATCCCCCTCTTTTTACAGACTTCTCTGGAGGCCAAAGGCAGCTGATTCATCAATTAGAAAAACTGAACGATGATAAAGCTGCTGGTAAAAAAGCAGCAAAACAATACGTGATGCAGTACACCGTGGATGTATGCAACTATTTTGAGCTCAAGCTCAATTTCTGGCCATTTGGTAGGTTAAACCCTCTCTAACATCCATTCATCCATCCGTTTTCCACAACGTTTGTCCCATGAAGGTTCGCGGGGATGCTAGATGCTGATCTCAGCATCATTTTTAGCAGCTGAGATCGCAACTTTCCACAAACATGTTTATTCTCTACGCTAAAACACACTGATCTGAAGATCCTGTGATAAAACCTTTTTAATCTGCAAAGCACCATGTAGTCAAAGAACCCTACTCAGCCAAAATAGTTATTGACAAGACCCTAAGAACCATTTACTGAGCTGAAGAACTGAAGAACTTTAGAAAATTCATTTTGAAGAGTGTATTTGTTTCACAGATCTTTTTAGGAGCATTTGTAAATGCATTGCTCAGTGGATCTGGGGCAGGCATTATAACTTCCTCCACAACATGACAGGTGAGAACAGACCCGTTCATTAACTGGCAATTCATTGAGAATAATAAAGGGACTCATTTCACACTGTGATCGCTTAGATGATGCAGTGCCTGCCGCTCTTCTGGAAAGTGAGACGAGAGACTATATAGACGCCGGACTGCTGCTGAACTCACCCTACTTCTCAGTGCTGAGAGAAGAACGGGACATTGACCTCATCATTTCCCTGGATTTCAGTGAAAGGGATCCTTTCATGGTATTATATACTTAAATAATACTATATAATGCACACATTCTCTCATAAAAGTTTGTTTAAAGAAATGCATCCCCTAGACTTCCCCTCACTTTTACTCAACTTCACTCATTGATCTGAACCCATCTAAAATCTCACTTTCTTCTGTGGAACACAAATGCATTAAAAAAAAAACTGTTTCTTTTTTTCCTCATGCATTGACCGTAGACCATAACCTAAAATATACAGAACCTCAAAAACACCGAGGGATAATTACGAATGTTGTGTATCACCTGACCAGATAAAAACAAGAAAGAAAACCATTTAAACAGATGGTTTAAACATCTCTATGTGGCATATATCTTCATGAGTTTTGTAATAACCATCGGGATTCCCATTCATCTCAGTGGCTGTTTCTCGACTAGTGCCTGATGGAAGCATAGGCTACACAGGAGTAGATTTAAGTGAATAACTTCAATTTCAACTGAAATATCTGTCTAAGCCTTTCAGTAAAGTGCTACTGCTATGCTTTTCCACAACTCTATGCACAGTTTTTTTTTTTACTCTATGCACAGGTTTTTTTTTTACTCTATGCACAGGTTTTTTTTTACTCGACGCTCAGGGGATTTTTTTACTCTATGCACAGGGTTTCTTTTGTCTTCTTAATTTTTTTAACAAAATGTCAACTCGATGCTCAGGGGATTTTTTTTAACTCGATGCACAGGTTTTTTTTAACTCTATGCACAGGTTTTTTTTTTACTCGATGCTCAGGGGATTTTTTAAACTCTATGCACCGGTTTTTTTTTACTCGATGCACAGATTTTTTTTAACTCGATGCACAGGTTTTTTTAACTCTATGCACAGGGTTTTTTAACTCTATGCACAGGTTTTTTTTTACTCGATGCTCAGGGAATTTTTTTTAACTCTATGCCCCGGGTTTTTTAAACTAGGTTTTTTTTTACTCGACGCTCAGGGGATTTTTTTACTCTATGCACAGGGTTTTTTTAACTCTATGCACAGTTTTTTTTTTACTCTATGCACAGGTTTTTTTTTTACTCTATGCACCGGGTTTTTTTACTCGATGCACAGGGGTTTTTTAACTCTATGCACAGTTTTTTTTTACTCTATGCACAGGTTTTTTTTTTACTCGATGCTCAGGGGATTTTTTTAACTCTATGCACCGGGATTTTTTACTCGATGCACAGTTTTTTTTTAACTCTGTGCTCTGGGATTTTTTAAACTCAATGCACAGGTTAAAAAACCTTTTAACTCTATGCACAGGTTTTTTTTTACTTGATGCACAAGGTTTTTTAACTCGATGCACAGTTTTTTTTTTACTCGATGCACAGGGCAGACTTCTCTCTGGTGATGCGGGACACATTGCATTATAGACATGTTTGTATTTTATTCCTGTAAAAATGTCTCTGCATGTTTCTTCACTGCTTGATCTTCACTAAGCAATACATATCTGATCATTAATAATCAAATCAACACAGACTGGATTACTGCTGATTAAAATACTGCATTACTTTGCTTCTGTTCCAATAAAGTAATAAACTGCTTTCTAAAACATTACAACTGCTTATTACAAATAATTATAAAATTAAAAGCATTATTCAGGCCATGAAGAGACCTTTGGAGGGACAGGTGCTCAAAGTATCAAAGGGGCTTTAAATAGGGCTGCGCTCCTTGCTGATACGCGTATCTGTATTGATATATATATGGTTTAAGAGTGTTTTTCAAGTCATTTGCAAGTAATAAATAAATAAAATATATGATGTATATGTATAAGTATATGTTGTTAGAATAACATTCTGTTCCGTAAATGCATTGTCTGCTGGTTTATTTAGCTACTTTACAGTGCACCACATTAAGTATACCACTTAGGCTACTGTAAGACTTTGAATGTTAAAGTGCAAATTACCACCTGACCACTCTTGTGGGTTTGCTACTGTTGCAATTAAAATCATAGAAGGGTAAAAACATGGCAGGCAGACATTGGTATGATGTAAGCAACACTACAATAAATTGCTAATGGTGTATTATAGTGTGCGAATAATCAAGCATTGACAATAATCAGTTGTATTGGCAGCACCAAGGGGCCCCCAAATAAAATTCTGCTTAGGGCCCCATAAAGGCTTGCATCCCTAAATAGACCCTGAGAACAATGAAAGAAGCCTTATTTTGAAGAGTGTATTTGTTTTACAGATGTTTTGAGAATTTATAAATGATATTCTTTTTTGAGAATGTTACGAGAATTTATAAACGCATGGCTCAGTGGGTCTGGGGAAGGAAATATGACTTTCTCCACAACATGGAAGGTGAGAACAGACCCGTTTGTAAATTTGCATTTCAGTGCGAATAATTAGCCAGCTCATTTCATGCTGTGATCCCTCAGACAAAACCATGCCTACTCTTCTGGAAAGTGAGACGAGAGACTATAGTGCTGAGAAAAGAAAGAGACATTGATCTTCTGGATTTCAGTGAAGGCGATCCTTTCATAGTATTATATGCACATAACTCCCACACACATTTACTCCCCCCTCATGTAGTTTCAAACCCCTATGACTTTCTTTCTTCAGTAGAAAACAACAGGAATAATCATGCTGCTTTTTTCCTCGTTCATCGTGATCACCAGAGGTCACACTTACCTTAAAAAACATACAAATACTGTGTATCATTTAAACTGATAAAAAAGAAAACCACTTAACTAAAAGTGCATATGATTTCATTTCAACCATATTTATCAATAATATCTGGAGAGAGCATTTCCATTCATCTCAGACTTATGAGTTCAGTGAATAACAACTTTAATTTCAACTGAAATATTTCTCTCACCCTTTTAATGAAGTGATGCTGCTATGCTTTTCCACTGCAGACAGTGAGAGGAGCTGCTGATATGTATGGGATCAGATTCCCGTCTAAAGTATTGCAGTCACGGATAAAAAAAAAAACAAGCGTAAAAACAAAATTTAAAAACGCAAGTAAAAGCAGAGACAGCCTTTAAAATGTGAACCGTTGTGGATAAAAATCACCACAGAAGTTCGGTAACATTTCTGTGGCCAGTTTCATTTTGGTGAAACTAATTTAAATCCTCTAACTGAATAAAATGACAAGTCACAACTGATGTTTCCACATGTTTTATTGATGTTAAACTGAAATTGATCGAGCAGTTTAATCAAACAGGCCAAAGCCCATGTCTCCTTCAGACTCCTCGGACTCCTCCTTGGGTGCCTCCTCTTTGGCCGCAGGAGCTGCAGATTTCTCCTCCACAGCCGAAGCAGCTGGAGCTGCAACAGCGAAAGCGCTGGGATCAGCCAGGTAGGCCTTGACCTGCGGAGGACAAGCGTCAGACATGCTGTAAGTGCCACGGAAGGCAGAAAAATGTCCATCAGAACTGAGACCAAGCATCCCCGTCTGTCCGGACGCATCTCACTATGTGCAGGACTGATCAACAAAACGACACGCATCAGCCGTTTCGGAAACAATGTTCCCTCATTTTATTTCTTGCCTAGCGAAAACTACTCTATTGGGCGGACATTTCGGCCACCTGAGCAAAAACATTTATACCAGACCTGTACAGCGTGCACAAAAATAAAAAATGAAATTAATACTTTCATTCAGCAAGAATGTGTTAAATGGATAAAAAGTGATAGTAAAGACTAATATTTTTAGAAAAGATTACCATTTTGAATAAATGCGGTTCTAACTTAAAGAAAAAAAAAATATATATATATATATAATTAAGCAGCACAACAGTTCCTAGCACTGATAATAAATCTGCGTATTACAATGATTTCTGAAGATCATATGACACTGAAGACTGGAGCAATGATGCTGAAAATACAGCTTTGCTCACAGGAATAAATTACATTTTAAAGGAACACGCCACTATGTTTGAAAATAGGCTAATTTTCCAACTCCCCTAGAGTTAAACAGTTGAGTTTTACCATGGAAAGAAATTGATCAACAATCAAACAAACTAAATGACTCGTCAGATCAGTAGAAATTAAGTGCCTGGCAGAATTACATTCAGTTCATATTACATAGAAAAATGTCTATTTATTTTGTGATATTTGTTAATAAAATAAAGTGTTTGCATTCTAATTCTGCATTCTTTCTTATTAATGTATATACTTGAGTATTTAGTGATTTGAATCAGGGTTATTATAGTTAACATCAACTAAAACTAAGACTAGATTAAAAAAAACATTACCTGAACACACACACACAGGTTTGTTTTTATGGTTTATGGGGACTCTCCACAGGCGTAATGGTTTTTATACTGTACAAACCGTATTTTCTATTGCCCTACACCAACCCTACCCCTAAACCTACCCCTCACAGGAAACTTTCTGCATTTTTAGATTTTCAAAAAAACTCATTCTGAATTATTTATAAGCCTTTTGAATTACAGGGACACTGACAATGTCCTCATAAATCACCTTCTCGTTGTAATACCTATGTCATACCCATGTTATTATACAAATTTGTGTCCTCATAAACCACACAAACATGCACACACACACACATACACACACTTTATTTCAAACAGTTAAGGCAACATTTTTCATGAACCCTCACACTGTCAGAAGTCAGGCGATGATGACCTCTAGTGGACAAATGTCGAATGTGGATTGGGTTCAAGAAATGATGAAAAGCTAATAATTAAATTATAAAAACTGAAAATTGAAATATATATTTTTAAAGTATAACAATCAAATAAAATGAAAGTTTTGTAAAAAAAAAAAAAAAAAAAATGAAATTACTTTCATTCAGCAAGAATGTGTTAAATGGATAAAAAGTGATAGTAAAGACTAATATTTTTAGAAAAGATTACCATTTTGAATAAATGCGGTTCTAACTTAAAGAAAAAAAAAATATATATATATATATAATTAAGCAGCACAACAGTTCCTAGCACTGATAATAAATCTGCGTATTAGCATGATTTCTGAAGATCATATGACACTGAAGACTGGAGTAATGATGCTGAAAATACAGCTTTGCTTCACGAGAATAAATATTTTATAAGTATATTCAAATGGGAAAACAATATTAGAAAATCGCAATAATGTTTCACAATATTACTTTTTTTCTGTATTTTCGATCAGATAAATACATCCTTGATGAGCATAAGAGACTCAATTAAAAAAAAAAAAAGGGTCAATTAGGTTTATAATATAGGCCTAACAACATATCAAAACAAACTGAAGCATTTAAACAGATCTGCAAGTTCAATATTTTTAAAGAACGTGAACTCCTCTATAGCCATCTAAACATCCCTATGAAGTAGTTTGCACAATACAGCTGTGAGTGACTGTAAATGTCTGAATTTTGTTACCATTCTGTGTCCATCATCCACTATTTCCAGCACTTAATCAAGACACTCTTTAATACATGACGTTTTATTTCACATGTCATTGCGTTTGCACTGGCTCTCGATTTGAGCCCTTTCGTCCACAACCATTAAAATATTCGGTTTCTACATCGACTCATTTGGTGCACAGTCTCCTATGAAACCTGTAAACTGCGTTCACCGGTTCTAACTCCATAGCGGTTTACCAGAGCATTGCAATTCATTCGCTTTCACAAATGGCTTCTTCCCCCCCCCCCCCCAAACTCATTTAAGCGTGCGCGTGACATTTCTTCTGCGCGGCTGCGGTGGAAGTGTGCGGCCTCATGCGCAGCTTAGAGGGAACGTAGCTCGTTAACCTAACCTGCAGCAGCAGCACTGTGTGAGAACTGAGCATTACCTTCTCAGCCAAGGGGAAGGAGTAGTCGGTTTCCACGGCGACAGCCAGGACCCTCTTGTATCCATTGATGATGGAGTGAGGGATGGAGGCGAGCGTCGGGTAGCCGATCTGCAGACACACACTGGCGATGTTCCTCACACCCTGAACAGAAAAGTGCGACAAGTTACACACAGACGTCAGCAAATAAACACTTTAAGGCCTGAAGGGGGGGGGATGAAAAATGACTTGGTGAAAAAAAAAAAAAAGTATTTAAAATAGATTTAATAAAAAGTAGTTAAACTATTGTTACATTAAATAAATGGGGAAACAAATTAAAATGGACAATTTAAAAGTAAACAAGTTTAAATAAAAATATTTTTAATATTTTATTTAATATAATTTAAATGACATTGAAATGTTACATTAAATGTATAATTTATATTTCCGAATAAGAGAATTGAATGACTACAATATAAATAATTTATATAATATTAATTTTCTAAACCACTTAAAGGCACAATGTAATTTGCCACTGGAGGGCACGTATTCAGAATAAACGAGACAAAAGTCGTAGTTTGAGAACGCCTGGAATCATGGGAGTTGTGGTCTTCAACCCCACAGCAGATGCAATCCAACGGGCAGAAATCATGTTCATGGATGAGCTAATGATTTATTAATGTAGTAGAATGAAGCAGGGTGAGGCTGAACGCCGTCGAGGCGAAACGAGGCGCTGAACAAGCGTGACAACGGCTCGAAAGCAGCGGGGCTTTTATTATGCCACAGTCGAGCGCTTCCGCTGCTTCCGGTCGTGCGTATGTGGGGTAAAGCAGCGGGGCTTTTATTATGCCACAGTCGAGCGCTTCCGCTGCTTCCGGTCGTGCGTATGTGGGGTAAAGCAGCGGGGCTTTTATTATGCCACAGTCGA